TTGCATTTTGCTTGATATAATGTATTTTTTTCATTCAGTTAGATTAACAAACCATGATTTCATCATTAGTCAACAAGATAGTAGGGAGACCATCAAAGCTGACTACAGGAAAGTCCTGATTGATCTGTGCCAAGCCAATGTTTGTAGCTAGCAGCTGTGTTACCACGGATGCTAATTCACACAGTGGGGTTCTCCTTTCATTTCCCAAGTTGGGTGACTGTCCTGTTATATGATGCAAGCCCATTGCTGCTGCTGGAGTGGTGAATTAGGTCAGCTCTTTCCCCTCTCAGGACTTAACCCTCATAGGCAGTTTGTGGTCCTGGACAGTTTCAGCCTTTTTTTTTTTTTCTTAAAACAAAACAAAACAGCAGAAAGGCCTTTCCCTAAGGTTGTGCAAAATCCCATATCAAGTCAAGACATTTTTAATGAAAAAAAGTCATCAGTTTGAGATGACAAAACACTCAACTGTATAGGTTTTTAGCTTTCTTTTCTTTTTTAAAATTCTTAAATCATGAATATCAGAGAATAAGTCATGAAAGCAAAGACCAAGAGGGCATGTGCTTCTGTCTCTTCTGGCTAGGTGCTCTGGTTTCCTCTCTAATTTGCTAAAGCAAGGGTTCTCAGCAGTTCTCCCTCTCTGGGCTGAGGCTGAATGGCCAAGTCCTAAGAAGCCTGTCCCTTTAGCTCAGATAGTTAGTGGGACATGCATCTTTCTATGTAAGTAAATCACACTTCTTGCTATCAAAGTCAAGTAACAAATCACATCTTGAGGTTTTTCTTATTATCTGAAATAAAGAGGTTTAATGGAACAAAAAGGTGATGAAGTGAAGCAGACAGCTGATTTAAACTAGGTTGGTCATACAATCCTGTGGATAATTGTCAGAAGAACCCTAGTCACGGCACATCTAGAGACAAGGAGCCACCACGGAGAGAGACCTGGGAAAAGCTCAAAGCTCCCTGTGGGCATTCTAGGTCCAGTCCAGGCTCTGCCACTCCACGGGGACTAGTCACTAAGTCATTCTTAAATATCTTTGAGTCCTACAAAGTCCCATAAAGTGGAGTGCTAACTCTTGCCTCTCACAATTGCTGTGAAGATTAAAATAATGTGTGTGAAAACAAACAGCATAGAAGAGGCACTCAATCAACAGCAGCATTAGAACGGAGCTGTGATGACCGGTGACAGTGTCCTTCAGAATGGGTTTTGGTTTGTTTTGTGTTTGACTCCCTCCCCTAAGTTCTTTTACAGTTCTGGGAATTGAATCTGGGGCTTTGCCAACGTTAGGTAAGCACCCTGGCACTGAGATACGTCCTCAGCCGTCTCCCATGGTTCTTAGTGATAGTAGTACATTTGAACACTCTTGGAAACGTTTGCAAAGAAGCCACAGCTGTGTGCCCTCAAGCCCAAGTTGTATATACTCTAGAGGTAGAGCCAAGACACAGAAAGGGCTGTGAGTGCCTGAACTTCCTAGGTACAGTCAGTCTTCCAGCTGTGCATCCTTCCCTGCATGAGAGGTGAAGCTAGAAGATCAGGTAGAGGGGAGCTCAAGACCCTGCTTGCTGAAAACTCAACCTGGGGTGGGCTTTCTACAGTTTTTCACCTCTGTTGCCCTCACTTCCAGAGGCTTCACAGGCATTGCGGGGTCTCACTGACTGAGCAAATGTGCCTGAAAATTACACACAAATCAGAGAGAGCTCCTGCAATGACAACTTGAGTCTTGTGAGAAAGACAGACAGACTAGCTGGTAAGCTAGTACAGGGTGAATGTTATGGGTAAAGCTTGGTGGGATGGGAAGAGAAGGTGCCAAGCTCAGTGGGGAGGGTGGGAAAGGAAGCGAGGGACTCAAGGTGTCCAGAGGGAGGTCAGTGGTGGGAACTTTCTCGAGTAAGCCAAGGGAGGAAAGCCTTGCCTACAGATGAAGTGGTTCTCCTTAAAGATCCAGAGGCGCTTCCAGGAAGAGCGTGTGGTTTCTGTGGGGTCCCAGTGGTAGATGGGTAGTAGAGAGGATCGTGGGAACAAAGGCCAGAGGCATATTCATGTTGTATTGATTTCCATAATCTGCATTTCACAGATAGTGTTTTGAAATTGTGTTACCACTGAAAAGCTGCTTTGGTTCTGTTTCTTTCTGGTGAAAACTGAACAGACTAATTTGGTTTGTTCCTTGGTATTTCAGAAGGACAAGAAATGCACACTATGTGTATTTTGTATTTTGTTTCCTAAGGCTGCACTCCCTGCAGAGACTCCGGCTCTCTCTGTGTTCCCCACGCAGGCATGGTGGTGATGCACCACCATGTGCATGCAAAATGCACACTATGTGTATTTTGTTGTTTTGTTTTGTTTGTTTGTTGCCATTCCCATTTCCATGTAAGCTAGAACCAGGAGGTACAACCCTGAAAATTTAGAAGGAAGAGGGAAGAGTCAGAGTCAGTGTATGTGGGGTTTAGTTTAAAAATGAACATATACTAGAGAAAGTCAACTTCTTCAGAAAGGGGACTGAGCTCTTTTGTGCAGGTATGTTTTCTGTTTCTTAGAAAGCACCTTAATTAAGGTCATTAATTCGTGGAAATTTTTAATCAACTTCAGAAACTGTAGAGAGCAAATACCTTGTATGAAAATGGCCTTTAAAAGCCTTTTGTGGGCTTTTTTTTTTTTTTTTTTTTTGGTC